AACTCCTGAGCTCAAGTGATCCTCCAGTCTCTGCCTTTCAAAGTGCTGGAATTACAGGTGTGAGCCACCACACTGGGCAGATGGGTCTTAACTGATTTTAATCAGGGTACCTGAGCATGGAAGACATGCCCTCAATTTTTTTCCTAATACCATATTTGACAGTTATATAACTATGATTTTTTTATTCCTGTAATTCATAAGGATATGATAGTAAAAGACCTTGAAAACGTTTGGGAAAAAAAGTGCTATATTGTGCTTGAAACCACCTTTTACTCTGAAAGCAAGTGCCACCCAGATACATCTGTTGAGAAGATATTTTCTTCTGCTGCATTTTAGCCAAACAGCTGAGTGTGTCTTGAAGTTGTTTTTTAATTTTTAACAGGACAAGTGTGTTTTCTAAGATCCCAAACTCAGGAGTGGCCATGGGGAAAATCACCATTGCTCACATGGAAAGCATGCACAGCAAATGCATTTCTCAGCCCGAACCAGGAGTTGTTCCCCCTGGGTGCACATGGGAATCAACAGGAGGCTTTTAAAGTTACCTAAACTCAAAAGGCAATAGATAAATGAATGCAGAATCCCTGCAGTGAGACCTGGGCCACAGTGCTGTTTAAAGCTCTCTGGGTGACTATCAGGAACAACCAAGCCCCCAAACTGCTGCTTTAAATCAGCCTCTTCCAGTGAACTAGTGGCAAATGGTTTCCTGAAATGAATGGTTTAAATCAGCCTCCTCCGGTGAGCTAGTGGGAAATGGTTTCCTGAAATGAATGGGAAGATTTGCTGCTGGGCTATGGTCTTCTGATCTTACCTGCATTACCTAATTTTCTTTGCAGAACTGGCCTCTGCTACACATTTTATTCCTGATTCAGTCCAGTTCTACTCATACCAAATGCATAGTATGTGCTAGGTGACCTTGCATTGCTGAACCCAGGGGAGAGGACTTTGCTGAATAATAATTGCATCCTAAAAAAACTAAAAATACTGGACTCAAATGATTCTCCTGCCTTGGCTTCCCAAAGAGCTGTGACTGTAAGCATGAGCCACCATGCTTGGCCTATACCCTAAAAAATTAAAACTATCCTACTTACTAAATTGATGTAAACCTGGGAAGACCTAGAAGGTCACCAAAGTGTTAGGACATAAGTAAATACCTTGGAATATTAACATCCACCTGATGATGCCCTGAGTAAACACGTCCTACTTTAAAACAATACAAAACAGTGCTATTATTCTGAAATATGAAGTTAAAATTTTGTGCAAATAGGTAATAGATTTTTATATATGTATAACATTTATGCAGAAAGACATATACAAAGAAATCACATAAAGTTCAATCAGTTATTACAAAGTGAACACACGTCTGTAACCTAGAAATAGAACCAGCTTCACTGATGCCCTGGCAACCACTTTCTCTCTTTTCATTCCCCCAAAGTCACTAAGATCTTAAGGGCTAACATTGTAGATCAACTTTGTTTTCTTACACATGTTTTATCACAGAAAATTTAAAACATATACAAAATAAAAGAAACAGTACAATACGCCTGTTACCCAGGCTCATCAATACCTAATAACATGCCAATTTTGTGTTATCTATACTTCAACTCATTTCTCACACAGAGAAATTGAAGGTAAAATCTTGGCTGAGCACAATGGCTTATGCCTGTGTAATCCCATTACTTTGGAATGACGAGGCAGGAAGATATTTGAGGTCAGGAGTTTGAGAGCAGCCTGGGCAGCATAGTGAGACCACAATTTTATTAAAAAATTTTTTTTAATTACTCAGGTGCAGTGGTGCACGCCTGTAGTTCCAGCTACTTGGGATGTTGACGTAGCAGGATCCCTTGATTCTGGGAGTTTGAGGCTACAGTGAGTTGTGATCGTGCTACTGCACATCAGCTTGGGTGACAGAGTGACTCTGTCTCAAAATAAATAAATAAATAAATAAATAAAGCTTCGATCTTAACTAGCTTTTTACACATAAACACATCCATATAAACAATCCCTCTTTTAACAGTAGAAGTACCAAATTAAAAATCATTAACGTGAACCCATTTTTAACTCAGACTTTACCTTTTAATAAGTTTTGTTTTTTTTTTTTTTTGAGGTAAGATATGCACTCACTGGAAGGTCTAATCTTGGCTGGGCATGGTGGCTCAGGTTTGTAACCTCATCACCTTGGGAGCCAGAGCTCAGGAGTTTGAGACCAGCCTAGGCAACATAACAAGAACTCACTGGGGCAAGATAGTGAGACCTCATCTCTACAACAATTTTCTAAAAGTTAGTTGGGCACAGTGGCACACACTTGTCATCACAGCTATTTGGGAGGCTGACTTGGGAAGATCACTGGAGTCTGGGAGGTCAAGGCTGTAGTGAGCTGTGATTGCACCGCTGCACTCCATCCAGAGGGACGAGTGAGGCTCTGTCAAAAAAAGGTACAATCTTAACTGTACATTTTTGACACACCAACACATCCATATAAACAATCCCTCTCTTAAAAATAAAAGTATCCAATTTAACAGTTAATATTCATGGGAATTACCTAGACATTTTTTGTTTGTTTTGGTTTGGATTTTTATTGAAAGGACACACCTAGAAATGTCATTTAAAATCTATATTTTGATAAAAATAAGCCTGAGTTTTTTAGCTCTTTAAGATGAAGTTTTGCTGTGTCACCCAGCTGGAGTACGGTGGCATGATCTCAGCTCACCAAAACCTCTGCCTCCCAAGTTCAAGTGATCCTCCTGCCTCCTGAGTAGCTGGGATTACAGGCGTGAGCCACTACATTCAGCTAATTTTTTTTTTATTTTATTTTTAGTTCAGATGGAGTTTCCTTATGTTGGGTAGGCTGGCCTCGAACTCCTGACCTAAGGTGATTCACCCGCCTTGGCCTCGCAAAGTGCTGGGATTACAGGTGTGAGCCACCGTGCCTGGTCAGGCCTGAGTTTTGCCTGAGCATTTCTCTTTCTAAGAAAGTACAGCATATGGCAGTTACAAGGTCTCTTTTATCTAAAATAAATAGAATTTAATAAATAAAAATTTTAAAAATTTACCTGAGATTAAAGGACAAATCAAAACATGTGTGTAATGTGTTGTCTGTAGAAGTATATTTTAACAATGACATAAATTATTAATAACCAATAAATGTTATAATAATTTATTAACTAAAATGAACAAAATTCCTATTATGATATCTATGAAAATACTTTCTTAGAGTAAAATATTCTCATATCTTGAGACGGCACTGGTTAAAAACAGCAAAGATTTGCAAGTCGATGTCTTATCAAGTACTTACTTATCAAGTAAGTAGCAGATTCCTCTTCACACCTTTACAGAGTTATCCAAAAAGCAGTAATTTACACAAGAGCAGACAATTTTCCTAGCTTTCTATTGAGTTTATATGTTACTGTTGTTATAGAATTTAACTCAATTTTCTTATAAAATTACCTGACCAAATTTTATATGATATTATGATATCATAATATATCAAAATTTATTTAGATGTCAAATAAATTTTATATATCATAATATTATACAATATAACAATATTATAAGTTCCATTTACATTCAGATAATTTCACTAGGCAGTGTCTGTCAACCACTAATATCTTTTTTGGTTCCACTGCTTGCACAGATAGCACAGCTGGGAAAACACAGACTCACCCAACACAGTCTCTTCCCTGCTTCTTTTTCCTCCTCAGGGAATCAGCTCATCAGTCAATCAAGTCATCTGGGACTGGAGACTGAGTACTCCCTAACACAGAAGGTCTCATTCCTGCATGCTTTCCACAGCAGACGGGGAGACAAGAAGGAAAACTTCTTGTTGGCTGAACAGGTTTCTCCTTCCTGCCGCTTCTTAGAGCCTCACCAAGAAGTTTCTTGCTGTAGTTCTACTGGGGGCCTAGACACAGTTAAGGAGAGACTTTTTCAGGATCCTGTCATAGTGACAAGAAAACAAAGAACCAGGAGCATGTCCCAGCAAGTGTTTCAGCCAGGAAACACTTGCTGGGACATGAACTAACCCTTCTGTAGTCTGAGGGCTCTGACCAGCAGAGACAGACTCTGCTGCAGTAGGAAGGGATGAGGCCGCTGTTCTGAACCTCCACCACACCTTGTTCTGTCTCACTGAGGCAATTTTGAGAGGCTGCCCTGGAATATGTCTTGATGGTGGATGTTGAGAAACAATGTGGGCTTTGATGGGATTCGGGTAGTGTCTGCTGTGTGAAGACAGGAGCTGAATGTTCAGAATCTAGGCTGTTTTTCTTGTAATCAGTTGGGTTACCTGTTTGAAATCAAGTCCATTTTTACTAGGGAGGTTGAATAAATTCCACAGAACAGAGTGGTGCTCCCAGGATGACTGTGGCAGGGTGAGAAAGGGGAAATGTTTTTCCACCTAGACTTTTTGCTACCTCAGGAATCAAGGGCTGATTAGATTAGCACTGGCTCTAATCTAATCAATTCAATTTTATTGCATTTGATCTAATTATCTTCCCCATTTTTAAGGTAGGATGGGCCATTTCATTTAGTATTTATTTTTTCTTTGCATTTTTATTTCATCATATATGTGTGGATCTAATACAATCAACTATAATTTGACATTTGTTGTTTCCAAGCATTTAAGAAAGTATAGTATAATATCTATGTATACAATGTTAACACTATGTATAATAAATTCTCTTTCTGTACAAAATATAACTGAGACAAAAATTGGAAGAAATGATTCCCCGATCTTCTTCTGATCTCTGTGCTCCCGGTTCTTTGTTTTCTTGTCACTATGACAGGATCCTGAAAAAGTCTCTCCTTAACTGTGTCTAGGCCCCCAGTAGAATTACAGCAAGAAACTTCCTGTTGAGGCTCTAAGCAGCAGCAGGAAGGAGAAACCTGTTCAGCCAATAAGAGTCAGCCACGCCCAGCCGAAGGACGTATAAAGGCAGGTCCAGCGGAATAACCCGCAGTCTGCCTTCGGACGTGAAAGAGCGGCGTACTTTCACTTGAGCGTCAACATGGGAAAGGGAAATGAAGACCCCGGTCTCCACTGCTCCTCCATCCAGCACCCCACTGACCAGCCCCCTTCCCCACAGATCCTTACAGAAAGGGGCCCAGATGAGAAGAAACCATTCAAAGGAAAAGGAAAGACGGCCTCCTCCCATTTCAGTGAGAAGCACATACAAAGGCAAGGTAAGGCCTTGGGCTGCTCCCATGGAGGCTGGAAGGAGAGTTGGAATCAGGGATACTGAGCCATGTGTCTTTAGTAGGGTTTTATTTTGAGATTTGGGGATGGAAAATGGCTTGGTGCCCTCAGGGGACTTTGAGAAATGTGTCCACTCGTGATGCTGGCAGAACTTCACATGAAGGACTCATCTGCAAAAACTCATCAGAGAGAGACTATGGGACTCTGCCTGGGGAGAGGTGAGTCATCTAAACTTCCTTTTGCAGCAGGATCGGAGCCCAATCCAAACAAGGAGGAGAATTCTGAGGAAACCAAGCTCAAGGCCGGAAACAGCACTGCTGGATCCGGTAAGATTTGACTCTTTCCAGGCAAGAAGGGACGAGCCAGCAACTCTGGCTCTCCTGGTCAGAAAACCGGGAGCTCCTTGGCAGCCAGGGCGATGCAGATCCTGGACACTGGAGAACAGAAGACAGCTGGGGTTTGGTGGGAACCTGAGCTCCTGTGTGTCCAGGATGGACTAGGAATTTCAGGGTGTTCAGTTGGAGGCACTTTCTCAAACTCTCATTGTATTCACAGAACCAGAGTCCAGCTCATACCGGGAAAACTGCAGGAAAAGAAAAATCAGTTCCAAGGACAGCTGCCAAGACAGAGCAGGTAGAATCTTGGTGTTTTTTGTTGGTGGTGGTAGTTGTGGGTTTTTTTGTTTTTGGTTTGCTCCAAAAGGTAAATAATCAGGAAACTTTTATACGAGGCTTGAGCGGAAAGG